TAACGCTTTTTCTCCCCCATTTCCTCTTTGATGCAACTTCAAAAAGCCAATGGACAGCCCTCCAGAGGCCCATAGAGGAAAAAAGCCAATGGTACGAAACACGCTCAGAATGAAAGTACAGGAGGAAAAAACTTCACCCTTCACTCTCTTTAAAACATTGTTAACTTCTGAGCCCCAAGTGGCTCAGCATTTAAGGGCAAAGCAGGGCACCTGAAGACAACAAAAATGTTATTTATTCTTATTAGTCATCTCTGTAATTTATTTTTATATAGACTTTCTTAAAGCTAATTTAAGCTAAGAGCATGCATGTCAGTATTTCAAACTAATAACAAATAAGAGAAAGGAACAAGCAAAAATGTCCCATCTCTACTGTCTGTGCATATTCTACAGCGGAAGCTACAGGAAGAAAGAGAAAAAAAATGAAAGTGAAAATGTTCTTTAACTCCATGGACTGTGGTACCTGATTATCTAAGGAGTGCTGACAGAGGAAGTATTCTATCAGCAGCTAAATGCTGCATGACAGGGAGACACTTCAAAGGATCTATAAGTGACTCCAGAAATACTGAGTGAAAGTAAAGTAGGAAATTACCCTTAAGTTAGAGGCATTTGACTAAGCCCAGTGAGGTGTTTTACCTGACTGGAGAGCCAATACTGAGAACCCCGACTGAACTCGGGTGTGAATGTTTCAGAAGGAACAAAATGATCTCATGTAGACTGATGGCTATCTTGTGCCTCTGCTGTTTGTTGTATCACGCTGTTTGATTGGCCATAGGACAAGGCAGTCATTTAACCTCGCTCGTGATTGGACTAATCTGTCAAAACCACACGGTGTGACTGACAAGACAGGATGACTGACAGAGCTTTCTGGCACTCTGGCAATCGCTCGGACTGAGTCGCAGATTAATGTGTGTGCAATATAAAAACTATACTCAGATATGGCAACAAAAAGACTGTATTTTTGTCTATTTGGATGCTGCAAGGACTGTTATAGTCTCCTCTATGTTTGGGCAAATCAGTTCCACAATGAGTACTTACAAGATGAAAAGCTATTTACTTGCCATCAATATCTATTGAAGTACGGACAGTAATTAAGTACTTAAGTACTATAAAATGATACTTTTTTTACATGCACTATACAGATTGAGAATTTTATTTTGAATCAATTTATTTTGATGGTACTTTAATTTTAATTTATTTTATAATCATTAGTCATTCATTGGTGATTGATTATGATCACCTTTTATGCGATTTATGATTTTACTAGAATTATCAGTAACACAAATCATAACATAATAAACAACACTAGCAATTTAATTAAAAACAAAAGAAACAACATCAAATTCAGAAAATAATGCTCTCCTCTCCTCTCCTCTCCTGAGTGCACCTCCCTCTCCTCCCAACTTCTATGGAGCCAAATCAAAAATCCATGCTCTCAATGGGCAGTCAATATCTCATTAACCAGTCCCTCCACACACAGCCAGGCAGCCAGGATGTTCGTCTCAGTGTGCACAGCACAGACTGGCACACCTCACACACTTTAATAACCTGTGGGGACGCCATTCCACTTCCTCAGCCAGCTAAGAGGCAAGAGAGAGGGCTGAGGCACACACCCTCCGTCTGTCTGAGAGACTCTTGTTTGTTTTGTCTTTCCTCTGCTCAGATATCATCTTTTCAATTTTACTGTAACATGTAAATTTTCCCTTAGAGGAGGTGAATTTAAATCAAAACATTTTTCATAAATGCAGATTCTATGAGATATATAATTTGGGAGATTGTAGAAAATTTTATTTGAATCTATTACCATTGTTATTGGAATTATGTTCACATTCAAACAAGGATTATTTTAATCACAGACTAAAATAAATGTTTGTTTTTTGTTTTTTTTTTTGTTTTTTTTTTACATCAGAAGCTGTGAGAACAGCTCTTCTTAAAATATTCATTCTTTGTAATTGGGTCTTTTATTTTAAATCCTTGCAGGTGACTTGTGCTATATTTGCCTTCACCTTAATCTGTGGCGATTTTTCCTTTGGCTCTTCATGTCCTCAGTCCCTAACTGGATAATAGCCAATCTTGTTAACCTCTGCTTTAATGTGTGAGAGCCTGCAGCACTGAGTAGTGAGCACTTCAATCGGCCACTGATAGAAAGAGACAAAGACTACCAAATCTACAGCAAATATTTACAGCCTTGTTAACATAGCCTTAAAGCGCCTATTACAAGATATTTGGCTTTACCTTCTCTACGGCCCCAGAACATTTTTTACAGTCTAGTACACACTCGTGTTAAATCACATATTTATGTGCAGTCTGCATACACTGTAGTGGCTTACTGGGCCTCGCTTTCAACTATTTTAAAACACTGCTGCTATGTATACCTTTCCACAACAATGCCCTTTATGAATGGTTAATTATATGTACTGTGAATGAGACGCACTTTTTTTTCTTTTTTTTTTTACTTTTTCTGTCGATCCACACATCAAACAACTTTCTTTAATTATGTAATTGGAATTTTCATCTTAATTGTGCTGAGTAGGCTGGCTAATTTGCATGGGGTAATGAGAGGGATGTTTCCATTACAGGTAATTAGGTACTTGAGAGGCAGTGGTGTGATAGAGAGGCTGAAAAGAGAGGGAGAGGTGGTAGTGTTGGCGGGGGGTGGAGGGGGGTGGGGGGGGGTTTGCAGGATAGAGACAAAGCCACAGAGACACACAGAGATGTTTGGTATAATATATTAGCATTAGTTTGTAGTGTACAGTATGAAAAACAGTGGGGAAAACTCATCACCAAAGAAAAAAAAAAAAAAGGCACATGCATTGTGATCGCAAGAAAATATTAACATAATGAAGAAGTGCATGCCAAGGCAGCAAGTCATTGTGCTGTTCATCCATTTCACTGACCATTTTCAGGAATAAATTACTACTGCTGTTTAAATTAGTTTCCAATTATACAGCTTGTTCACATTTTAATTTAATTTCTGACACTGTCGCAGCATCCTATGATGACACCAGCAGCTCCTGTCAAACTGAAAGCACCAATAATGGAAAAGACAGAACTAAAAGGAGAGATGAAAACTGGCTACTGTACAGGTTACCTAAGTTAATTCTGATGAATTAAATTGATATATCAGTTCAAAAACTGACTTCACAAAAAAAAGTCTGCTATGACACCACGTCGAGAGGAAAAAGAAATATTCACATTAAAATGTCGTGTATACGCCACACTTTAAAAAGGTCACAGAAAAGCCACATAGCACAGGACACTCAATTCTGCCCAAATATATGTGATTTCATTAAGCCCTTCACTTTAAATTGCATATAAAGGACAATGGGTCAAAGGCCATTTTTCATATGTGTCTCACTGAAAATGCGAAACAGAAATGCACTCTCTCTCCTTCACACAAGTCAGACATCACAAATGACTGTGAGCCTCACTTCGTAAATGAATTCTCACATACTGTGACCAAAAAAAAAAAAAAAAAAAAAAAAAAATTAACGCTCTGATCATAGTTACCAGTCTCACATAAACAGCAAGATACTTAACAGCAACTGAATGGTAAACTAATGTGTAAAATAATGAATAGACATTAGATTACATTGTAAGGGTAAGTATAAATATTACTAACAATGTTAATAATATATAAATTTGGTTATAGCATTATTTTTTCCATACATGAATTATATTTGCTTAGAATAATATGTATACAGAGACATTTAGAAAAATGCTCTATTGGCTGTTTTTTTTTTTTTTTTTTTTGTCTTGACAATTAATAAATTAAAACTCACAAATGTAAATGTATTTTTTGACAGGTGGGAGGAGAGAAAAGCAGCATGTATCAAATCAAATTATCATTACTGACACCTCTCATTTAACACAGAATGACAGTGTGCCTCATCTTGGTTATTGTATTTGACTGTATCATCATGGGTGCATGTGAGCACATATGTTTGGATATGGTTGTTCACATTTCTCCGCATGGAAGAATGAGTGTATTCATATGTGTGAAAAACATGATTATGTGCGTGTGTGTGTTTGTGTGCAAGCATGCATGAGAGAAGTGTGTACTGTACTGTATATCTGACTGCACTTTCAGTATCTGTCTGCGTGAATGTGTGTGTGCGCATGTATTCCTGTATGATGGAGGGGGGTGGAAGAGCTGGGATTAAGCATACTAGATCAACATCACAGCGACTGGGAGGACCCAGTCCTGCTCTCATGGCCACACATGTAAACCCAACTACCCAAAAAATAGGTCAGTGGAACACAACACACTCACACACAGATATAAACACACATGCACCAGTATCAACTCAAAGAATCACAGTCTGCCAGTCGCGCCAGTGCCTTGTCGCCCGTCTGCGACCCACGTTCAACACTGCCACGCACATCTTCCCGCGGAACAGACACGTCCTCTGGACTGGAACAACAGGATTAAGAATGGGGCAAAAAGGAATAGCGACAGGAACCCCCCCCCCCTTTCCTTTTAAGACCTTCTGCCCCCCCACCACCCCTGCATGCTATCACACATCTATGCCAAAAAAACTTCTGCTCTGTAGCTCAGGAGCTGTTCTTGTCAGAGACGTACCCGTGCAAAGATTATACCGGCTGTGGTTTCCACAGCACCCCACACAACAGCAGCAGTTAGAAAACACACACTGAGGAGAGTAAAATCAAAGCAAAATACCTTTACAGATATTATAAGTTGAAGATTTCTAGCTCAGTTTCTTTTTCTGAATTAAAAGAAGAGATTTTGTCCATGCATGAAAAGAGATATTAGCAAAGCTTAATTCACTTGCACGCATTCAGGAGCACTGTATTACTCTAGTTCTCACTCCCTCCCTGCCCGTCTCCCTCTCCCCTCTCTCTCTCTCGCTCGCTCTCTCTCTCTCTCTGTCACACTCATGCCTTGCAAATGAAATGCAAAGAGTTGGCAGGCTATGAATAGCGGAGCCATACTTCCCTACTTGTTACTCTGGGTGCAGGATCAGCATGCATTTTGCTCTTACCTTTCATAGCTGAAATCACAAAATACATCATTAAGCTTCGAGTCCATAAGAGAAGAACTATCACCAGCGCAAAGCCCTCCACTGCTGTCTCAGCAGCAGCTGGCCAGCACAGCTCTGTCTCTCAGCCTCCGAGCATGACCACACCAGAATCCATGTGACTGTGACATCAGTGTTCATGTCTGACTGCTCCCCACCCACTAGCCTTTGATTGGCACAGCATGCAGCCAGTAGGGGCGCTGAGAGCTCAGGCAGGGAAGCTGGCCCTCTTCCCACTGATTGCAGTCAGAGGCTTGTATACCGGCTTGCTAGACACAGCAACACTCTCACTATCGTCTGTGGCTTATCTTTTTAGTGGAAGGATAAAGTCAGAACCAGTTCTAGCATACACCAGTTTTTCAACCTCTTGTTCTGCCCCCTTCTACTCCCTTGTTCATTTTTGTTTTGTTTTTTTTTTGCCTTTAAAAATGGTGCAATGTCAAGGATAAGAAAAAAAAAAGTCACAGAGGGGATAAAAGAGCTAGACATGGATGAGAGAGGGGTGAAGGAGAAAAAGAGCTGAAGAAACAAAAGAAGGAGGAAGCAAAAAAAAAAAGAAAAAAAAAAAGAGGAGCGTGGAGAGGATGGATAAGAGGGGAAGTGTAATTTTTCTGTGGCTCAAAGATCGAAGCGCTCTGCTCTTCTCCTCCTCCCTGTCTGTAGATATGAGTGATCAGTGTGAGGCCAGATGTCTGCGAGCAGCGGTGGGCCCTACACGGAGAGAAGATGAGTGGAGTCTCAGCTTCTTCCCGTGACCTCTCAGAGGACCCGCATTCCCCTCTCTCTCTCTCACACACACTCCGACGGCTCTCACACACTCTTTTTGACAGGTGAAGAAGGGGAGATAGTGACGGAAGGGTTTGGATGATCCCCTCCACCCCACAGCGACCGGGCGATGAGTTTCTTGCTATCATTTCTCCCTCTCTCCCTCCCATGCCCCTCACTTTCGCCCCCTGCTTTCCATTCCAGTCCCTACCTCTCTCTCTCTCTCTCTCCCTCTCTCTCTCTCGCTGTCTCTCTCTCCTCCCCCTCTCCTCGCTCATCCTCTCTCATATGATAATCTGTTCTGACTCCTAACCAGCTGCCTCTCTCTGATACAATATTCTGGTTTTAGTGCAATCCAGCCTTGGCCAATAACCACGTTGCATTTGGCATTTCCATGAATAAGCTGGTGCTCATATCATCCCGTCTTAAGACAAACATCGCACAGCTTCGGTTTCAGACGCTGCAATATTTGAAACAAAAAATATTACATTTTTTTTTTACACCACCAATATTTCAAATTTGAAAAATTTGGAGGCTCATTTCCCATTCTCCATAGTTGTTTGATCTTAATAATACTACTGCAGCAGCAGAATGATTACGCTTCCACAGGGCAATTTCTTATTAAGAGACACTTTGATTATTTATTTATTCCTATTTTACACTCTAAATATCTGTATTCATTTGAGGTCTTTGATCGTTGCTCTGTTCATTGAATAAAGGTACTTCTAACCATATATAAAATGGAAATGAGGACTCAGCAGCTTGCTACATAAATCTTCCCATGACAATGTTTCATTAGGACCTCTATGATCCATTAGAGTAACTAAACACATTAACTCACGTTGTGTCAACACTGGTCTCTTATTGCACACCGTCTAATGAACAAAATATCATTCAGAGACTGATAGCATCAAATGGAGCGTGCCTTGGATACAAACTAGCCATAGACGGGCCCTGGCAAACTATTCAAAACAATGTGATGTCAGAGACAGTACAATCGTCTCGTTTCAATGTTGGCGTCTCCCCACAAGATCTTCAAAGTTCACCAGATGAGTCAGGGCCAAGGCCTGCGCAGGAACATGTTTAACTGCCACTATCTGTGGTTGTCTCTAAGAAACTGGCTGCTGTATCAGTCTTTCTAGAACCAGCTGTGGCTCAACACAGTGTGGCATAACACTGAGCTATGGTGTAAGGGGGGAAAAAAACACAAAACATGATAGCAGGGGTTGAGTCTCTTGGCTGGTTATCCAAGAACATCTGAGAGGAGGATAACATCCATATAACGATCATCAGGAGAGAGTTGGAAGGAGCGCATGTTTTGTCTACTTACAAGCTATGTATGTGGTGAATAGGTGAAGTTCCGAGAAAGTTCCCTACAGGTTAGGAGGATTAGAATATCACTCTGTGGCTCCTTCTAAAAATACATTTAAAATAAAAAGAAAAAAAAAAAGAAAAATTTGTAAAATGTCGCATTAAAATCAAGATGTTGACACACAGAGAACAAATCAGCTGGATTTGTCATTTTTGGACATGAATAAAGAAGCTTTCTGCCAAGCTTTTCAGTGAACTGTAAGGTTTTAGATCACAAAGGGTCTCATTGTCCAATTAATTGTTTTCTGTACATTTACATGCTAACACACGCACGCACGCACGCACGCCAAATTCCATTCACCTGCACTATATGGTAGTGACAGAAGATGGATATCTCGCAACCATGGGCAAATAAAACCAAAACTATTCGCAACTATGTGCCAACATAGGTGAGTGTAAATATATAATTTTCTTTGTAATTTGGGTGAGCCAATGCCTCAAGAAAGACATATAGTAAAACTAACAATTCTAAATAAACTAATCTGGATGTTGTTCTGTCCTTTCAGCTCTACAACAAATATAGTGCTTCCAACTGTATATAAATGTGCTTAAAAGCACGGGCCCCCCTAAGGACAGATGTTTCCTGCAAAGCTGCTTCATTTGCTCTTCACCACACTCTCCCTTGACTGCTCCACATTACCAGTGACAGTATGCCAATATGATGCCGACACTTATCCATTAGAGCATTGATTAAGCCACAGAGGCACTGATGGTCAAATGTTTGTGGGTATTAATGTGGTGATGTGAAGCCATCAGTACAATCATTTTTAGTCAATTCTTTATAGATAGTGAAGTGAGTTTTTATCAACACACTACTGGTAGAGACACTGAGCTGAACCAGGCACAACACACTAAATTTCTGCATTAAGACCGGCGCAGCCGTGTGTCTCACGCTCCTCTTGGATTAATTCAAGCAAATGTATTTACTGTAAACAAGCCCTGTGGAATGGAATTCAATTGAGATGAGATGCAGAGCATCCACTGGTGCCCCTGGAGGAGAGGAGAGGACCAGAGCTGATAATGGCCTCATTAGCAGTCTGTCAGTAGCCATTCCACACACAGACTCACCATGCAGCTGATCCACATTAACTCTTACAACTCTGGGCTGGCCTCTGAGACCAAAGACGCGTAGTGTGCAGGCTGTTGCACTCGGCAGCCTTTGACCCCACAGGATAAACAGTTATGGACTTCCTCAATTTGTGTCCCAATCTCATTGTGAGGTACTGTATTTTAGAGAGCTGAGGCTTATTTTCTACCACGGAGCCACCTGGGTGTTTGGAAGTGCACCACCAGCCCAAAGCAGCGGTAGAATTAACAAGCTCCAACAGGCACTCCATGAAAACAATACAGATCAATTTAATATAGATGCCAAGGAGTGGAGGGCATAATATTAGAACCATAACAGCACCGGCCCACACCACACAATCATAAACCAATTTAGGGCCATTCCAGGCAATTTCCTGGGGGCTTCCACTTGTGGAAAGACTTCAATAAATCACACAGACAACAAAGAGAATATCTATTTCAGTGAAAATAGAGGACACTATTGGGTTATGTCCAGAGGACTGCAGAGGGTTGCATTTAAAGACAAGTTTAAATAAGAGCAGTGAGGGTTCAAAAACATACTACATGCCGATGCTGTGCTGTGGTATAATATGGTATTATGGTATAATGTGTAGCTACAGGAAATGCTGTTAAGTCATTACGGCTAATGGATTTTCCATGGAGCAGCACAGTATGTCTAGGCTAGTGAGGTAGCAGCTGTACGCGAGTCTCTTTTTACTATCTTTACAATTGTACTCTGATTAGATGACTCTATGTTAGTGACTATATACACTGCCCTTCATCCTTTATATACACAGCAGCCCCATGGCCAGCTCAGCACTATTCTCTCTCTTTCGATCTGTCACTCAATGCACATACACACAAACACAATATTTATAGAACAGCAGGGTCAAAAGGAAGAGATATGAAAGCATATCATTCCTACACAGGTGAAGTGTACACCTGTCAGCTGTCATGTAATCCGAATCAACAACACAGTGCTTATGGTGAATGGTTGACAAGGCTATAGCCTTTTGTTTTACAGCCATTGTTATTTATAGAGATAAATTTAAATCTTTTTCCTGAGCGTCTTGTATTTCCAAATCGATTGAATCAAATGTTTTCAAAGTACTGTGTCAACATGGCAGCAAAGCCAATTTGTCCTCCGCGGACTGACCAAGCCTCACATCATTTAAGGCGGACTTGCGTGCCGGCATCACATTAAACGACCCCTTGCAGGTACGTGTGAGGTGGTGACAAGAGGCTGTGAACAATATGCTAAGCACTAAACGACTTCAATGAAAAACTTCGTGCTTTTTAGTCGCTGTTCTGTTTAGTGGCTGTTTAGTTGTTGCTGCTAGTTGTCTGCTAATGAAAAGCCAGGCTGTTTCCTTCTGTCTTTGGGCACTTGAGCAGCAACAAAAGTGTTTACAATCTGCACACTGGAAGTGGATGGACTAGTGATGGACACAATCTTGGAAAAAAAAAAATACAGAAAGTTATTCAACAAAGGTTATTTATTCAGTTTACCAGATGAAAAGGCAGCGGTAAAGAGAGATCTTCGACACTGCTGGAGTGCTATCACATAACTCACGGAACAAATTTTCAATAGATCAATAGAAATCAGATTTAACAATGAATTGCACTGCATCTCTTTTGTGTGAGGCTGCCCTTGGGGACAGAAAGGAAAGGGATAGGAGGATAGAGAGAGAAGGAGCGAAAGTGAACGAGGAGGGGAGATTATCGCAGGCATGGCAGCCTGTGTGAGAGGCTTAGCCTGGCTAGGCAGGGAGGTGGAACCCTGTGAATTCTAATGAACTGGCAAGACTCCCCCAAA